TAATCCCCAATCAATGTCCAACAATTAACATGAGTTAAAGCTAGTTATGCACAAGAAAACTTTCGTAACTAGTTTGGTATATGTAAATGAAATGAATTAAAATATAATTTAGAGGCCGAGATATTATACCCCACAATTCATATATTAAATAGGGAGAAAAAACAAACAAAATTATAAGCTTAACTTCAAGGATAAATAGTTGTGTATTTTAAAAAAAAAATCATGGCTGCCAGGAAACTATAGTAAAGGCCAGCAGACCACAAATGAATGATAACAGCAGCCAAAGCAATCAAAGATACTTTAATTGTTTTTTGTTTTGATTAGAAAGACTCAGAGATTCAGCATAGCATGCCACTATGTCTTTTGGATAAGTTTCTCACGTAAATCAACATTGGAATAAACAAAATTCATTTTATACATCAAGATCATAAAAAATCCCGAGTCACATATCAATGACCATTCTGGGTATATATTCAGGTAGATGTCATAGAACTCACCCATAGTTCTTAAAAGTAAGAAATAAAACCTAACAAAGGTCATTGATGAAACTCAATGATTTTCAAACCTTAAACGTAGAAAATGGTTATTGCCTAATAAAATACAAAAGATAGTAGAAAACATACTTAATACTAGCGCAAATGAAACTGCCCTTTCCATTTTATCAAAAAATCCAACTCATTCCAATCAAATTCCGAATCAAACAAGTGACTCCTTAATACAGGCTCTGTTGATCTATTATTTCTCAATTTCCACAATAGTTAAAGTTACAAGTAATTTATGCCACTGGAAATGGTATTTCTTGAAATGTATGTTAATAAACCTTACAAACATTTGTTAAGAATTGGGTCCTAAATAAATTTTATTTAATCTTAATTTTTAAGGTTTTTCTCTAAGTTTTTTTTTTACATAAATGACCAAAATATTAACAAAACAAAAATTTAAGAATTAAAAGTCAAAATCAGTGAAATTTTCAGAAATTAAAATTAATAAAAGTTGCTATTTTTTAAAAAAAAAATTGACAAAACTAAAAAAACCTCCAAACCCACAAAACTCTGAATATCAGTGACAGTTCTTGGACGTTCCCACTACAGTACCGACTCCACCTTAGCCGGATCAACAACAATCCCCTCAACTGAAATCACATGTCCCAAGAACTTCACCTCATCCAACCAGAACACACATTTTGAAAGCTTAGCGTACAGCTGCTTTGCCTTCAAAATCTCCAGCACCAACCTCAAGTGCTCACCATGCTCCTCCGGGGTCCTTGAATAAATAAGGATGTCGTCAATGAACACCACCACAAATTTATCCAAGAAAGGCCGGAAGATCCTGTTCATGTAATCCATGAACACTGCCGGGGCATTGGTCGGCATCACAACATACTCGTAGTGACCATACCTATTCCTGAAAACAGTCTTTGGTATGTCACCCTCCTTTACCTTGATCTGGTGATAACCTGACCTCAAGTCAATCTTAGAAAACACCGATGCTCCCCTCAGTTGATCCATTAAGTCATCTATCCGAGGAAAAAACCAACAGCCTTCTTAGTTCTTAGCAAACCAAGAAGCTTCACCAGTTCAACATCTTGCAACTGCTTAAGTCCAACCTACCTCAAGAACTCACTAGTTATGGTAATCATCCCACAACTAATGTGATCCTGAGCCAACTCTACACAGAGATTCAAATCTCTGAACTTCTCCACCAACTCCAACTCTTTCACCATCATACCAGACATGTGGATGGATTTCCTACTCAGCGCATCTATCGCAACATTGGCCTTCCCAGGATGATACATCAACTGGAAGTCATAATCCTTCAGAAATTCCATCCACCACCTCTGCCTCATGTTCAGCTCCTTCTGATCAAACAGGTACTCAGACCCTTGCGATCACTGAAGACGCTAAACCAAGCACCATACAGATAATGTCTTCATATCTTCAAGGCAAAAACAATAGCTGCCAACTCCAAGTCATGAGGGGGATAATTCCTCTCATGGTTCTTCAGTTGCCTTGAAGCATATGCCACCACTTTCCTATTTTGCATCAGCATGCACCCCAGACCCTGATGGAAAGCATCGCAGTACACATCAAATGGTTCACCAGAGTCGAGCAACACTAGCAAAGGAGAAGTAGTCAACCTCCTCTTCAGCTCATCAAAACTCCGCTCACAGGCATCTGTCCAAATGAACGGCGCTCCTTCCTCGTCAACTGGGTTAAAGGCGCTACTATCTTGGAGAATCCCTCAATGAACCTCCTATAGTAACCCTCCAAACCCACAAAACTCTGAATATCAGTGACAGTTCTTGGACGTTCCCACTACAGTACCGACTCCACCTTAGCCGGATCAACAACAATCCCCTCAACTGAAATCACATGTCCCAAGAACTTCACCTCATCCAACCAGAACACACATTTTGAAAGCTTAGCGTACAGCTGCTTTGCCTTCAAAATCTCCAGCACCAACCTCAAGTGCTCACCATGCTCCTCCGGGGTCCTTGAATAAATAAGGATGTCGTCAATGAACACCACCACAAATTTATCCAAGAAAGGCCGGAAGATCCTGTTCATGTAATCCATGAACACTGCCGGGGCATTGGTCGGCATCACAACATACTCGTAGTGACCATACCTATTCCTGAAAACAGTCTTTGGTATGTCACCCTCCTTTACCTTGATCTGGTGATAACCTGACCTCAAGTCAATCTTAGAAAACACCGATGCTCCCCTCAGTTGATCCATTAAGTCATCTATCCGAGGAAGTGGATATTTGTTCTTAATGGTCAACTTGCTCAACTGTCGGTAATCATCACACAGTCGACTACCTCCATCTTTCTTCTTCACCAACAACACCGGAGCACCCCACAACGATACACTTGTGTTGCCTATATGTGCTTTTGGGAACGGTTTTATGATTGTTGTTAAATAAAGTTCCAACAGTTTACAAAATTGTTGTCTATTCCATATTTCGAGAACACTTTTTTAGACGTTGCCTAAAAACTCGTTGCCTAATATAAAAAATATTGTAGTGAAACGTCAAGGTGAAGTGTTCTTTTTGTTATTTTTTGGGTTAATACTTTTATTAAATAATAATAATATTAATTTTCCATTGATTTAAGTAAATACTATAAAAATCCGAGGTATTATAATTAAATGGAAGGCATCTCAATTTCAATTTTAAGAGACCCGGTATGTTATACGTTTGAATTCAATTTTTTCTTTGAGAAAGTGATTAATATCTATTTAAATTGCATATAATGGAAAAACCTTTCTTTCTCCATTTTCATTTTTAAATGCATTCATCCCATTATTTAAAGTAGTAAATTTCTTATATCCTTATTTCTTTATCAGTTAAAAAATACATGCAAACGTTCAAAAAAATGTATTATTTTAAATTTAAATTATCTTTAAATAAAAAAATTGGCATATGCTTTCTTTGGAAAATAAATAAGAAATATCCACATTAACTCATACACAATCAAATTCTTAATTTGTGATTTGGGTAAAATCAATAAACACACTCATTAAGATATGTAAAATGCATACTTAAATGTAAAAGCTAAACTGAACATGGGAAACAAGACAAAACAATCTAACTAGAGAGTTGGTAACTTGTAAGGTTAATTTTTGTTTTTGTTGTTGTTATATTTAAACCCATTTTACCCTAATCAAAAGTGATTCTCCATTTAGCATTTATGCATAAAAATAATTTTTAATATATAATAATAATAATAAATTTTTAATATAAATAATAATAATAATATTATTATTATCACTAAATGATTCGTTTACTCATGTTATATGGATTTTTACGCGGATGAATCGATGTAAAAGAGTATTTAAATGTTTAGTGATATGGAGTTAGTGTGTCAACAATTAAAGAGGAGTATGAGTTTTTTTTTTTTTTGGTCTTTTATATATTAATTAGACACTCTCATAAAGTGATTGCTAGACAAGGAACTCATATACTTAGTCAATGATTTTGTATCATGGAAAGATTTATATAAATTTTATGATGTCAACAATGTTTTTAATTTTAATATTTCAAAATTGGGACCGTATTTTGCAAATTTGATAACCACTAAATGAATTTTTAAATTATTTACACCTAAGGAAACTTATTTTCCAACAAACTTAACTAAATTATAATGGATATTTAGAACATATAATTCATAAAACCAGCTGAATATAAATTTTTTTCAAATTTTTTTTTAGTAATTGATAATGAAAAAGATTATTTAAACAAAAAATAATAATAAAAATACATTTAAATTTTATTATTTTTACATTTTTTTATATTATGTTATATATAGAGAGAAATGATGTGTTTATCTAGAAGTAAGTCTACTTAGATTTACTATATTCAATAACTCATATTTTATATCAAATTTCAATAATTCGATAGTTGAATTTAAAGTTCTTAATGCATAAATTAAGTCTACAAATTTTTAAAAAAATAAAAAATTATTTGATATTTGGTTTGATTAATTCAAATTAACGTATAAAATACTTTTATGATAATCAGTCAATTTGAATTAATAAAAAGAAGTATCAAATACTTTTCAAATTTTTAAAAAATTTATAAATTTGATTTATGCATTAAGAAATTTAATTTTAACGATTTGATTTTTGAAATTTGATGCAGGGTTATTGAATAAAATAAATTTAAGTAAATTAATTATGTATATTTTCATAATTTTAATTCCTAAAATGTTCTTTAATTTTACATGAGTTAAATATTTTATTTGTATTTTTTAAATTACCAAAATTTAGAAACTAAGGTTACACGAGCTGGTTTATAGTAATAGAGCAAAAGTGGTAGGTATTGCTCCTGTTGGAGGAGTATGAGAGTGACACGTGCGCACAGTTCATTGGCTATACCTTTTGAAAAAAGGAGGGTTGGGACATTAAGTTCGGGCGAAATTTCCTCCCTTCCATGATCCCATAATTAGAACTTATTAGTTCCACGTTCTCTCTTTTCTCACACACAACTTAAAATCTGTTTCTCATTGCTGAATGAAACTTTTTTTTCATTTTTTTTTTTGCTTTCTTGTCTTGGTCTTGTAATGAAATTTATATCTTCTCCCTCTCTAGACATATAGAGAGAGTAGATAGGGATATATACATAGAGGGTTTGCATGTTTTTATTCTCATTGTTTTATCCCAACATCAACAACTATAAGGGGCAAGGGATAACAAGAATAGGAAGAGGAAACAAACCAATATGTTGCAGAGAGCTGCAAGCAATGCATATTCATGGTGGTGGGCTAGCCACATCAGAACAAAGCAATCAAAATGGATGGAGCAAAACCTCCAAGGTCAGCTTTTTCTCATTTTCTTGCTTGCATTCAAACAAGGGATGAATTGCTTCAATTCAACTTATCAATTCATAATGTAATTTCATTGTTTGGTTTGATCTTAATACCACAATATCTGCTAGCCAGTGTTACATGGTTTGATATGTGTTGTTCAATTATTGAATTGAAACTTAGTTATGTTTTCCTCACGCGCAATTAGACTATGGTCAGAATATTCATTGATGATGTGGCCAATGTGGTCTGTAATCATGACTTGATGTGGCTGTGGCTATCACTGCTACTTAAAACCTTGATGATGGACGTTTATTTGTTTACTAGAAATGAAAATGAAAATGAAAATTTCCTTTAACAATTGACAACATGCAATGGCTTAACTTAAATGGCATTTTATGATGAACACATCCCATTGTAATATATCTATGTGCTTGTCAAACTAAAATTTATAAGAAAAAACTCCAGATATGGAGGAAAAGGTGCACGCTGTTTTGAAGCTGCTAGAGGAAGAGGGAGATTCCTTTGCCAAGAGAGCAGAAATGTACTACAAAAGGAGACCAGAGCTGATAAACTTTGTGGAAGAATCATTCAGAGCATACCGTTCTTTAGCTGATAGGTATGATCACATTTCAACAGAGTTGCAAAATGCCAACAACACCATTGCATCTGTGTGCCCAGATCAAGTACCTTATATGGATGAGGATGATGAGGAGCCATCACCTAGACCAAAGACTCCAAAAAAAAAGTCTGCAGAAGGGGCCAAAGTAAATATTCCAAAGGTTCCAAAGCCTCCACTTAGAGATTTAAAAACTGTCATAACAACAGCCACAAAGAAACTCAACCCCAAGAAGGTAGCCCCCGCGGCTGCAGCTTCTAAAGTTCCAAAATCTGGATTGAGCAGAAAGGAGGCACTTAAAGAGATTGACAGGATGCAGAAAGAGATTCTGGGATTACAAACTGTGAAAGAGTTTGTGAAGAGTTCTTATGATAATGCCATTGCCAAGTACTGGGACACTGAGAATCAGATCAAGGCATTGCAAGAGAAAGTGTCCAATTTGCAAGATGAACTTGGAGAAGGCATTGCTATTGATGACGAGGAAGCGCGGCGTTTGATGGCAGAAGCAGCTCTTAAGTCATGTCAAGATACATTATCACAGTTGGAAGTGAAACAGGCCATATCACTTAATGAGACCAAAATTGAATCCAAAAGGGTAAAGGAAGTGAGGGAAAAGTTAAGTTCTCTCATGAATGAAGCCAAGTATGATAACACCAATTTGAAAGAGCCAAGGGCCAAAAAGGATGTCAAAGAAATACAAGGAACAAAGGACTTGGGTGAAGATATGGAAGAAATGACTCAGCAGAGACAGGAGTTGCTGTCATTGCAGGAGAAAATAAAAGAACACTTCGACGCTGGATCCTATTCAAATCTAACAGTAAAAGATATGGCAGAAAAGATTGATTCACTTGTGAACAAAGTTGTCAGCTTAGAAACTGCAGTTTCTTCCCAGACAGCTCTTGTAAAGAGATTAAATGCAGAAACCAATGAACTTAATTCCCTGGTTCAAGCCCTAGAAGGTGATAAGGAAAGTTTGATCAATGATAAAGCTAAATTGAATGACCAACTGAGAGAAATGGATGAAAAGCTGCGTGAGGTACAGAATCTAAACCAAATTGTTGAGAACCAGAATACCAACCTCCAAACCCATTTCACTGAAGCACATTGTAATCTTGATCATCTCTCTGAGAATGTCCAAAAGGGGAAGCCAGATGAGGAGGATGAGGTCAGGGAAACATCACTAAACGAAAGGATTTCATCAAGAGATGCTGAATCTGAACATTGTCTTAATGGACAAGATGCATTGAATCAAGACAGTGAGTTATTGAAGGATGAAAAGTCCAATAAGGAGCATAAGGTCACTGCTGTGACAGAAGATGTTGTAAATTCAGATAAGGTTGCTGAAGTGGTAAAAGACACTGTAATTCCAGATAACAAGCCTACAGTCACAGGTTCACTGGAAAATGAAGTTAAGGCCACCAATTCACTGGAAATGAAAGAGGAAACTCCGTTGGAAAACAAATCTCCAATAGAGTTGAAAGAAAATTCTAGCAATAGCGATATCAGAAAATCAGCAGATGCTTTGAGAACTACTGCTGACCAGGCAAGTACAAAGGAAGAGAGTTCTGTAAAACAACAAGAAAATGATTCTAAGCAAGTTTCAGCTGAGACAGTGACCGCTCAACAGCAAGAAAATGATTCTAAGCAAGTTTCAGCTGAGACAGTGACCGCTCAACAGCAAGAAAATGATTCTAAGCAAGTTTCAGCTGAGACAGTGACCGCTCAACAGCAAGAAAATGATTCTAAGCAAGTTTCAGCTGAGACAGTGACTGCTCAACAGCAAGAAAATGATTCTAAGCAAATTTCAGCTGAGACAGTGACTGATCATAAAGGTGATTCCCAGGATCAGCAAAAAAATGATTCTACGCAACTTTCACCTGGGACAGTGACTGATCTTAAAGGTGATTCTCAGGAACAGAGAAGGACACGAGAAGATGAATATGATTGGCAGGAATTGTTGAATGGAATGAGGGATAGGGAACAAACTCTGCTGGCAGAGTATAATAATGCTCTCCAAAATTATGATGAAATGAAGAACAAACTAGCTGAAATAGAGAAGAAAAATCAAGATGTCCTCTTTGAGTCATCTTTGCAGTTGAAAGAACTGAAGACTGCTAATGCCTTGAAAGATGAAGAAATTAGACTCCTACGTCAGAAACTAGGCTTCCTGCAGAAAAGCTTGGAGGGAAAGGAGGGAACGGAGGATTTGAGAGACTTAACTTCAGTGCAGCCACCCCCAGAGCCAAATGACATTGAAGAACTTTTAAAAATTGAAGAACCTGAATCTACAACATCAGCCATTGAAGAGAACTTCCGGATGAGCATTGATGAGCTTCTAGAGGAGAATCTAGACTTCTGGTTAAAATTCAGTACTTCTTTTACAGGGATACAGAAATTTGAAACCACTATAAAGGATTTGCTGTCTGAGGTAAAAAGAATTGAGGAAAAATGGAAATCATCAGAAGGCAGTAGTAGTGCAAAATATTCTTTGAAATCTGATGCAAGACCACTTTCTAAACACCTTTCAGAGATTCTAAATGAACTAACAATGTGGTTGGAAAACAGTGCATTGTTGAAGGAAGAACTTCAATGTAGATTCACGTCCTTGTGTAAAATCCAAGAAGAGATAACTACAGCACTGAAAGCCAGTGCTGAAGATGATGACTTCAAGTTCACCAGCTATCAAGCAGCAAAGTTCCAAGGAGAGGTTTTGAACATGAAGCAAGAGAACCACAGAGTTGCTGATGAACTTCAAGCAGGTCTAGATCTAGTAACAACTCTCCAACTTGATGGTGAGAAGGCTCTTGCAAAGTTGAATGAGCGATTCGGGCTCTCAAGTTCTACGAAAAGCCAGAGACCTTCAGATTCCCAGAATTCGGTTCCTCTGAGGTCATTTATCTTCGGTGTCAAACCAAAGAAACAAAAACAATCAATCTTCTCCTGCATGACCCCTGGAATGAATAGGAAATACCGTGGTTATAGAGGATAAAGCCATATGTAAAATGTTTATACTGCATTTCTACAGTTTTTATCATCTTCTACAAAACTTCTATATTGGTTTCATTAGATAGTGCATTGAGATTTGAGTGTGCCTTTTGTGCTTGTCTATAAATTGGCAGAAAGTATCACCAAATGTAGGCTCCGGTTTGCCCTTTGTATTTTGAGTCTTTCTCATCATATATATCAATCACTCCTTGTTGTGTGTTAGAAATGTTGTCTTCCATGAGTCAAAAAAAAAAAAAATAATGTTGCCTTCTAAGTACCAAACTTCCTATGAAGGAAATGAAAGGCTTTCGGTGTGCAGTAACATTCTGATATGTTTCTTATTGATATCATTCAAGGTGTGTATATACTGAAGGACTTCTGTTCTTAATTTCTATGCTTCAATCTCTCCATCACATGATTGAACAGAATATCAATTTTTCGCTTGGTTGATCCATTCTCAAAATTGGAACTTGTTAAATTATTTACTCATCAGTTCCGCATTTGTTTCCTTCTGTTCTTAATTTCTATTCTACAATATCTCCATCACATGATTGAACAGAATATCAATTTTTCGGTTGGTTGGTCCATTCTCAAAATTGGAACCTGTTAAATTATTTACTCATCAGTTCCACATTTGTTTCCTTCTGTTCTTAATTTCTATTCTACAATATCTCCATCACATGATTGAACAGAATATCAATTTTTCGGTTGGTTGGTTCATTCTTAAAATTGGAACCTTTAAAATTATTCACTCATCAGTTCCACATTTGTTTTTGTTCCGTCATGTCTAAAAATTCTACATCACTTAAAAGTCGAGGTTAAGGATAATTTATAGACACTTTCATTCCTTAACTTATAAATGCACTTTTTTAAAGATAAAATTATGATAACTTAACTTGCGCCAAAACAAATAACACCTCGGACAGAGTGACCTAAACGAGTTCAGAGAACTTGATCAAAACATTGGCGCTAAAGGAAGGACAACAAACTTATGGTTGGAACAGCTTCCTTTTTTTTCCCCTTTAAAAACTAGTTAGCATAGAATTTCATCATTTATTAACAGAAGCTCAGACAAGGCGTCTGTACCGGCAAAGACAAACAAACAAGTGATAGAGAGCTGAAAAGAATGCACCAAAACTGGAAGCAATGGAGCATGTAACTTCAAACAATTTTAATTCTTTCAGTGATATGCAAACTTATGAAGTAATGAAGGAAACCTTAGGCTCTTAACCTCTCAAATTTGATTAAAGTTTATTTTAGTTAATATAATTTCAAAATTTAAAATTAATCTTTTACGTTGTGCTTGGAGGTAGATTTAGACTGAATTTGAGGGGAGGGAATGAATTAGAGAGTATTAAGGAAAGAGGAATGCTAGTAATACGTTCTCTAGTACACTCATTTTAACACACTTATTCTCATTGGTTATAATTTATTAAAAATTACAAAATAAGAAGAAAGTTATTAAATAGGATGTAGGATCCACCAATTTTTTTGTATTCCAATAAATTTCAACCAACTAGAGAAAGTGTATTTAAATGAGTGTTAGAGAGTATATTACTAAGATTTCTCATTTAGGAAAGTATCCATGCTTTGGAGGGTGGATTTGTGTGAAAATGAAAGTGGGTCCCACAAGTTAAAAAATTACCCCCCCAAAATGAGAGGATTGTCATGGAATTCTCTAGAAATGACAATAATAACCCTCTAACTCTATGTCCTATGTTTTTTATGCACCCATGACTTGCTAGTATGAATAATGCATTATGGTAAAATAGGTAATGCATTATGCCCATATTCCAATGGCTACTATCTTCCAACATGAAAATTACCATATTCCAATATGGTGGGTAATGTATTATGCTCATACAACAAAAACAGTACAAAGAAACAGACATGGATAAAGAGAGAAACATAAAATCGTAACTATATATATATATATATATATAATTTATTTAT